AAAAAATATAGTCAAACTGCGTTATTAATTTTTCACTATTATGTCAAGACTTTTTTTAAAGAACATTGAAATATGAAAAAAAAATTATTTCAAATATTATTAAAAAATTTCAGTGCAATGTAGAGTAAGGCACTCCGCACATTACGCGCCTAATCATAGTAGAGTAATCGTTTTGTCATGTCAATGTTGGGCGCTTCGATTCATGAAGTTTTTATAATTAGGCGAAAACATGATTATGAATCGTAATATACAGAGCTTCATTGAAATACATGTGTTCGGTATAAAAGCTTCATACTTTAGTACGCCGGAACGATTACACTACTCTGACTAGGCGTTTAATGTGCAGAGTGGCTAACAATGTAGGTATCAAATAAAAGAGAAAATCAGAATTAAAACAAATGTTAAACTTTTTGGTTCATAAAACCGAATGGGTATGGAAAATTTCTTTTTAAAATTTTATCCTTGAATATCCTTGAAAATTTGCAAGATTTGTTTAAAAAAAAATATATATATAAAGGACTAATACAATTAATTAAAAGCGATTTTTCAATACTTATTTGTCCTTGTGTACCAAAAGACTTTATTTTTTTTAATTCTACAGAATTTTCTCTTTTATTTGGTACCCATATTGTTATTGTGCATTTCACTGATTTTTTAAATAATTTTTTTTAGTTAATCATATCTTTAAAATTTCAAAGTCTTTTAGAAAAAAAAATCCTGTCGTCAGAGTGAAAAACTAAAAATCCAGCTTTACGGTATTTGGCCCATTGCTTCGTGTGTTTTGAAATTTTTTTGTTTTTGTAGCATAGTGTTTTATATGGTAGTGAAATCAGGAAGAGGTCTACGAAATGTTCATTTCGAAAACATTTTTGGAAATTAAAGACCAAATTAGTTAACGAGTTAAATGAAATATTTTAAAATGAATTTTTCCATTTTTCATTACACTTCAATCTTTTTTAAGTATAAGTTGCTAATGCAAAATCGTAATCAGCGACATCGAAAACGCCTGCATATTTTGGCCAGCTTTTTTGATATTTCGACCACTGTCCACCGTGGCGGATACGTTATATATGTATGTATATACACCACCTTGTTAGAGACGGACATGTTGTGGTTCAATGCCAACCAAAAGTGAAATTTCGGATTGTGACCAAAATTTTCATGTTTTGTTATTTTTGCTACTCTAAAATGACGAACACTAAAACTCTCAACATCGTTTAATTTGTTAATTTATCTGACTTCATATGCACTCATAAGAAATTTTAGCGTGTAAACGCCAAATTTTTAAAACGTCAAGAAGCGAAAGTTCGTAAATTGCTCGATTTTTTCTTCGAAGGGATTGTGGAGACCAAAATTTGAAAATCGAGAAAAAATCCTTTAAGGCTTACTTTCTTTTTTTATTCAAAATTTCTTAAATTTCATAAACATCTCAAATTCCTTCGTCCTTCCCAGCATCTAATTAAATGGTTACAGCGTCCTAAAACGCTTACACTCACACTATTGCAACACAATGTTAAATGGTTAATCAGCCTCATTGCGTAAGTCTTAAATTGGGCTAAATTGTACGACTGGACAGTAGACAATGTCGTGCTGAAATAAGTAAACGGTGAAAATCGTCGAAAACTATACAGTGCTGCCAAGTTTTTCCATTTGAATACAGTAGTCGAGTGGAAATTTTAGGCAATGACGTGAAATTTTCGATACGATTCGACTCTCGAAAAACGACTTGCATTCGACACGACTCTCGCAATGAGGATGAATATTTGCAACATGCTATCGTACATGTTTTGAGTAAAAGCGCCAAATGGGCAAATGAAGTGAAATGCAATTTAAAACAAAATTCGTGCATATCTACCAGTGCGACAAAGTATTTTCGTGGCTGGCGAGCCATAAAAGTGACACTCGTGCCACAAACAGCCAGCGTCTGCTTCTGCTTCTGCGTCCACGTCAGCGTCAGCGTCAACGCCAATGTCAAGCCAAATAAATGCCAGCCAACAAAGGCAACACATTTTCGCTGTAGTTTTACTATAGTAGGTGTACAACAACAACAACAACAATACGTTTAATATATGTATGTGTACTCATATAAAAATATCACAATCGCGTTGCCACTTGTAAATGTCAAGTGTACAAACGAAAAGGGCAATTGCATGCAGTGACGACAAACGACAAACAACAACAACAACAGCTATTACTGCAACTATAACTACAACAATAAAATACGATAAAAAGTGATAAAGCATTGAAAAATGACTACAATAATAACAAATATAGCAAATTACATGGCATACGGTGTTAAAAGCAGGTGTACAAATATTTGGTTGGTTAGCTGAGGACAAAAAGCGACGCAGTGTATGTATATGAAGTTTTGTATAGGGTAAAGGTACTAAATACAAGCAGCTAGGCGTCATGGGCATTTGAGCTGATTTCTCTTCGAAAGACATTCATATTTCAATTTTGCTACTGAAATGTTGAAACTACATACAAAAATACTACTCGCATGTTTTTTTCTAAATTTAGATTCTTCACAGCTGTTCGCTCAGCCGCTTTGGGGTAAATTTCTACACACATACAAACATCATTACTGTTCGCCTTATTTACATACCTGTCATCTGCTGGTTTATATGTCACAATATACTTTTCAATTGGATGCGCATTCAAATCGATCATCGTTTGCCAGGAAACGCGCACTGTGGTCGGTGTGAGAAAGGTGACGGTTATGTTCTCGGGGGTGGCCGGGATGGTGCCTGCAAAAAGAAGGGAGGTGAAAAAAATTAAATTAAATAAATTGGAATAAGAAAACCAAATTAACAAAAAAAAACATTAAAAATCAATACGATTTTTTAGCCGCCCAAAACTTGCATTTATTTCACTAGAATTTTATAAGCTTGTTAACTGCATACCCAAAAAATACTCTAAAAATTTTTCTAAGTTCGGTATAAAGTTTGAAAGTGTGATTTATACAGTTTTTGTTAAAACATGAACCATATTTTCATAAAAAAGTATCAAAAAAAAAACTCGCTGGAAAAACATTGTAAATATTAAAAACGAAACACCATTCATCCATTTTTGACCGCCACTTTATGTAAAGTGGTGGAAAAATAAATAGGGGCACGACATTTTAACAAATTTTTTTATAAAAGTATACTTCGCTATCTAACAAAAGCCGTATAAGTTCATATTTCAAACTTTGTACAAAAATTATAAAAATTCTGCAATATTGCATCTTTTCAACTTTTTAATCAGGAATTTTAGGAATATTTTTGAGTATGCAGTTTTATAGCCCCTCAATTTTAAATTTTGGTAGAATAAAGGGCAAGTTAGAAGTTCCCTAAAAATCGCGTTGATTTTTGATAATTTTTATTCTGAATGTATTACGCTTTTTTTCCATACAAAAAAACCTTTCGAACATACTTTGTACAGAAGAAAATGCGTTAAAAAAATTTCCAAGCTAAAAACCAACGCGATTTTTTAGCAACTTGAAACTTACACTTCAATCTATTAAAATTTAATGGGCTATAAAACTACACACTCAAAAAAGTTCTAAAAAATCTGATTAGAAAGTTGAAAATTTAGATGCAAGTTTGCAGAATTTTTGTAATTTTTGCGCAAAGTTTTAAATATGAGTTTATACGGTTTTTGTTAGACAATGAAGTATACTTTTATAAAAATAATAATAACAAATATTAAATAAACCAAAGACAAATAGGAAACATTTTTTCAAATGTCGTGTCCCTATTTATTTTTCCACCACTGTACATAGATACAAATAAGTCTAAAAATAAAACTAAACACACGCTTACTTAAGTAGTTGCTAATAGAAAAAATTAGGGAAATCAAATTACTTTCATGTGCGCCAAAGTGGGTCATGGCTGCAACATTGGTTGGTTGCAGATCGGCCGATGGTGGGTCGCGCATGGGGAACGAAAACAATTAGGGGATTCACAAGACGTGTTAACCGTCGTAAAATCTTAAGGTTAACATCTTTTTTAATTAAAATGGTTTTAGGGGATTTCTAACTAAACCGAAATTCTTTTAAACTGATAAAGAATATATAATTAGCCAACCCCCCAACCATTTTAACCGCTATTTTACATAAACAAGTGTTAAGCTTAAGATTTTACGACGGTTAACACGTCTTGTGAATCCCCTAAATATAAGAAATGCAAGCGAAGTAAGCCAATGAAATGAATAAATAAAATAAATGCTTAAGTTTACGCGCCAGCTACTAACTACAGTAGCGGGATCTGGTTACTTGCGAGAACAACGAGGGCAAACAAACAAATATTGCATATTCCATGTATCTATTTACATTGCTGGCCGCAAATAACGAAAAAGAAAATCAAGGCAGGACAGCGTGTAAAGCCATCGCTGCATGTATACAAACTTACATACAGACGCGCTGTTGTGTATGGCTAAATTGACACACCGATTGACGTTTGAAATGTTTGAATCGATGGTCGTCGAATCAATGCATAAATGAATGGTTCAGTGGAAGTCATTCTTGCAAGCAGGCGAACTTGTAGAAATGCTATGTAACTATATAAATTAATGTGTATTTAAGTTGGTATGAAAGAGTTAGTAGTAAATTTTAGTGGGAGGGATATTCAAATAGTATGAAAGTATACTCAGTTATGTACATATGTTTGTATTTAAATACACTAACACATAAGTAAATACCCCGCAGCGGTTCTTACCACTTCCGCGTTGAATCTCCCTTACTTTAACAAAGGCGCAATCGCCTTATGGAAGCAGAAAGCAGGCAGCGGGGGATTCAGAATTTTTTTTTTGGGACGGGCGGGGGTTCGAAATTTTGTCTCTTATTCCTATTAATTTAAACGAGTAATTCATGTATATATACATATACATATATTCATAGGTTTCTCAGAAACGGCTCTAACGATTTCGATGCAATTTGGCATTCAGATAATCTATCATATTGAAATTATTAAAAAAAACCCAATTCAGAAATATTTGTGAATAGAGTTGCTACCTATTTTCCATCGTATATTTTTTAAATCTTTTTTTTTTTTTTAATTAAGATACGATATTATTATTTAAGGGTACGAAAAGAAAGCTCTTAAACAATAATTTGCCTATATAGTAGGTGTTATGCCTTAGGATATTACTGCAAGGTTGCCACTTATTTTCGAATTTACAAAATTTAACTAAAATAATTTAATATGGATTTCAAACGAGAGATACTTTTGAGATTTTAAATCCAGAAATATTTTCTATGAGGGTTAACAGGTTTTTTTTAATACAAACTTTTATCTCATTAATTTCATCGAGCATATATGTATACACAGATATATAGACTAAAAACATATACTCTCCATCCTGGCGTATTTCTAAATAGGGTTGCCACCTCATTTTTAATGTGAGTCATTTCATGTCACCGCAACCACAAGGTTAAAGAGGTTGAAGGTCTAGGTGACACGAATATACGTGCAGCATATTTTGCCGATATGACGTAGGGTTGCCTATTTACACGGGACTTAAATTTTAAGAAAACGTCATACATACGTTTCTTTAAAGTGCTGTATCTTCGAAACCTTTTAACGAAACTTAATGATAAAAAATGTATTTATTACGTCTTATTATGGGCTTTAATTGTACGTTTTTTTACATTAATGTGCAACGGATTAAAAACAAACAAAAAAATTAAGTAAACAATTTTTTTTTGATTATAGCATTTTAAAAAATATTTATTTTTACATAAAAACATTGTCTATAATGTCAACTGTAAGTACCCATATGGGCGTAATGGGCTACTTAGGCTTGCCTAACGCTCGAGCAATATGATAAATAGACATTGAAATGTTATGAAATTAAATTATAAAAAAACAAAAACAATATGAATAAATCATATTAACTTTACTAAAGGGTCTGAAATCACGAAAACTCCCTTCAAGGTAACGGCAGAATTGAACTTTGTTGCAAGTTCACATGGGAAATCTGCTTGCGGCGGGATTGGAGGAAATTTTAAGAGACTAGCAGCTAGAGCAAGTTGTCAGCTCACGACGTCACAATAAATTCTTACACCCGAGGCCCTCTACCAATGGGTTAAGAATAAATTAGAGAAATCTAGTGCTTCCAGACCGTGAGCTAGTCTTTCGAGGACTATATCTTCTTGGAAAACACTTCTGCAATTCGTTAGCCTTAAGTTGGGGTTGTTGAAGCATTCCTCGTAGAAGACACCTCCCCGAAATTTGTACACCATATTAAGAATAATATAAAGAGTAATTCTGCATCATTTGCATGGTATGTATTTATACCTCAAGAAATGTGTATTTTCATTGTAACACAGTGTAATCAATGTATGTACTTCTTCTTCGGCTTGATGAAGTGACAACAATGCATGATACGCAGTTCGATTTCCGGAGCGTTTTGTCACATAAGTACACGCACGTGTTTTGCGCAAAATATGTAGGTAGTGAGCAAATACTCGTTAATACATACATATATAAATAATATATGCTCGCATGTACACACAAGGTACAAAACAAATATCCCTACTAGAAATTTAATCTGCCACATACTCGAAATTGTGGAGAGAGTGTGTACTCACTTTGCAAAGAACAAGCACTAAGCAGTGAAGTTCTTCATAAACTTTTCTGCTACATCGCGCACAAGCATATGAGCAAATCTCACGAGTTGTCTTTTTAGTGTCACTCTCTTCACACTGCAGAAAAAACGATAAATCATGTTTCTCGCATTTATTTCAATCAATGGAGTTCCAGAAACAAGTACAATAAAAAATTAATTAGTATTTGAAAAAATATGCCTTAAAACGTTCATTTAGGCGAAATAGTACAGTAATTACTAATTTTTTCATTGTGAATCTAAAAAATCATAATTTGTTAGATGACTAAGGGCCGTTTTCACCAACTCTTGTTAACACTAATCCCCAGTTAAACATCGTTACCGACGTTACCGACACAGTGTTATATGCATGGAGTCAGTAACGTCGATAACTATATTGACCGGAGAGTAGTGTTAACCAGACAGTGAGAAGCTGGCCCTAAGTATCGTGCTACGGGGTGTATACATATGTTACATACGCAACTACGGGTATATAAATATGAGTGGTTATTTTTTCATCTTTTAATTTATATTTTTTAAGTTTTCATTTAAATACCGGGTGCATTCCAAAATGTCAAAAAAGGCAATAGTCTCTTTTATTTCTAAGCCGCATTAGAAGATAAAGTCTAACTTGTGTAACCTAGTTGAAATCTGGCATCTTACCGTGGTTGCGGACGTTTGGCATTACAATCTGCTGAGGTTTAGAAATAAAAAGTTGCTTTGTATTTTGACGTTTTGGAAAGCACCTATAATTTAGTGATGGCATCTTGTTCTTTATAAAAAAAAAAAAACTGAAGATAATGCATATTCTAACGTAGGCGCAACATCATTTTCGACTAAAACACGTTTACTCACATACTCGTAACTGGACGAATCGGCTCATGAAGTGTTCGAGGGAAAATGTGTTGGCTGTTCAGCATACAGTATAAGCCAATTTCAGACTACTTCAGAAAGGAATATCAAAATTTCCAAAAAAAAATTACTTTCGGTACGAACATCAAAATGAAAAAATATTTTTAGTTTCTTTCTAGGACGTCAATAAAATAGGACCTTACTCATCTAACAAATATAGAAGTTGTGAGCACTTAAGTACAAGCGGAAGAAAAGAAGTGATAGATCCAATCGTAACCAACGAAGTTATGGTGGATCATATCAAAGAATG